CCGTCTCGCCGTAAGGCCTTCTAGCTGGCCCTAGTACGCAGACGAGTCTCACTCGTGATCTGATTGGCTATTGAAACCTGACTGTGCCCGTTCATTTACAGCGCACAGGGGCCTGCTCTGTTCAATCTGAAGGCCCCGAGCAAGTTTAATTTTCCTGGCAACACAAGCTAGCTGAAATATGATTGGTTAAAAACTCTACCATAATAAATAAGTTCTTTTTCGAGTAGCTTTCAATGTTATTTAAAATAACATTGAAAGCCACTCAACTAAGTGGAAATAATATGACGTAAAGAATACAGAGAATAATTTTGTTTACATATTTATGAAAATAAAATAACAAATTTATGTTATTCTCAGAAACTTTTCTGAGAATGTTTAGGCCAGCATAGAAGGCCTTGCTGGCCCTCAGGGTCCGCCACTGGATAATGGTGGACTTCAGGAAACATCCGTCACCAGAGCTGGCCCTCACGCTTTCCAACTGCCCAGTGCTAACTGTCAAGATCTTCAAGTTTCTGCAAGTGGGAGACAAACATCAACTCCATCCTGAAAAAGGCCCAGCAGATGATGTACAAATGACTTTCTGATGCTGCTAAAGAAGCATGGCCTGGATGGCCAATGGTTTGGGGGTTGTGTCTCCCACTTGGGGCGTAGTTTTGTTTTTCACATCAGGTGAGGTTGGTGCAACCCAACCAAAACTTATGAACTGACGAAGCCTTCTCAGATGTCAAGTGAAACATCTTACAAGACAAACAGCACAGTCCTTTTGCGATGGATTCAATGCTCTGAGAATGGATGGCCTGGATGAATGAGAACATTCACAAGCAAGCGTGGTCTGCCATAGAAGCTTGTTGAGGCGGTTCTATACAGCAGTCATTGAATCAGTCCTGTGTTCATCCATCAGTCTGATTTGGTGATGCCTCTGTGAAGACAAAATCCGACAGCAAGGGACAGTTAGGACTGCCGAAAAGATCATAGGTACCCTGCTGCACTTCCATTAGAACTATGACAAGGGCAGACAAAATTCTATTGGACCCTCTGCTTCCTTTTCACCACCTCTTCCAGCTCCTTTGCTCAAGTTGGCGCTATCCAACTTTGCACATGCAAACCAGCAGACATTCCAAAAGCTTCTTCTCTCTTGCAATGAACTTCCTAAACAGCCAAATTGTCCACATTTCTGTTGTGACAGTACTACAACATTTATTGTTGCAACTTTGCTTTTTGCACAACTGTTCTTGATCAATATTGCACACTGCTGCAAAAAAGTGGGCATTGCATCAGCACTGATGAACGGTAGGTCCCTTAATCGCTGACAGATGCCCAATTTGCAGACAAATGACGGTAAACTTAAAAAGAAAATGACGGAATAGACACTGGCGGAAGTGGGTTTTCGTTCATCAGTGTAATCATCACAAACCGGTTCAACTGCCGACGGCCATCACAAACTATCCCTGCCGGTCCGTCACTGACAAACGGCCGTTTTGCTGACGCAAGCGCGGTTAAAATAACATGACAGACTGACCAGTGACCACTGGACAATTGCAGTTTGGTTCAGCTTGAAAAAAAAAAATATGGATTGCCAATGACAGACGATGGACCGGCATGATTTCCTAAATTGCCCATATCTTAAAAATCATTTTCACAGTCATCTTTGTATCAGCATTATTGCACTACCGGTATCCTTACACTGCTCAATGACTCACTGCACCGACGTATATATGTATATATAAATGTATATATTTTTGTCACAGTTGCTTGTTCACTTGGGGTCTAAAACTAACAGAGTTTCTTGGGTGTTTTTAAACATACATTAAAGATAATTCTGATTCATCTATGCAGTTTGATCGTGCTTGCATGCATGTTAGGTTTATCTCTAAATTGTTTACGTGAGTAAATTATTTTTTTTGTTTGTTTGTTTTTGTGAAGGACAAGTGCCATACTGTAGAAAAAGGGATAGATGGTGTTCGGAATAAACTGTGCGTAGAATGCGTGTAGATTGCACTAAACACAACAACACAGAGACAAAGCGTGAATTTCAGAAATCCGTTTATAAAACAAAAGTGGTTGTTATTTCAAATCATATTCCATTACATAGTCTGTGGAAGGAGAGGGTCGCATCATCCTTCTATTTTTCTCTACCATGTCCCATCCACATAGTCAAAGAACACAAATGGAGCAGGATGTAAATAGAAAGGGTGTAAAGACAATCAATTAACAGTCACGACAACGTGAAAGGTAGGCCGAAGGACGTGCAGCAGCTTTACTACAAAGTCGCCACCAAACAAACGACAGGAAAAAGACGTGTTTGGTCTCGGTGCAGCAAACCAAACAAAGCGAGGCAGCTGGGGACTATTTACCAAAAAGAAACATTTCGGCAAATACGTTAGTCATGGCAAGTGGAACTTAGATTGAGCAAATCCTTTCCCTCGTGAGGCAAATTGACTGCAGACCACACCGCAAACATTTTATGTATTATTAAAGTGCTTGCCACCTGTCGTTTATGAAAAAAATGGCACCTTTCTTACATATTTTGAATGGGAGGCTTCATACGCCTGCTTGCTTTTCCTTAACACTGGCCACCAGAAGGGATTCATTAAGCTAAAAAGATAAAAACAACACACATAAATACTGAGACAGTTCGGATTTTGCTGTTTTCAACACAATTAGGGAGGAAACACAAACACTTACAGGGACAACGAGTATGTCGTCATGGCAGGGGAAGGAAAATGTTCTTATGCATCTCATCTAATTGTCTGTTAAAATGAATATTTTATGTGAAGCCCTCGAAAGCAGAAGCAGCAGCATTTGCAACTTCCTCAAAGGCCCAACATCACTTTTATTTTTCTTTAAACACAATATCTTCAAGATTCATACACAAAAAATACGACTTTGTCACCACATGAACTTCCCAAACTCTACAATGAATGATAAACATGTAATTACGTCTGCCGCACAATGGAGAAAATAGGAAACAGCCTTCCATGTCTGTACATTTTCCACCAAACTGGATTCTAAAGAAAGCCATGCCGCTCCTTTAAAATATGAACAGTTTAAAAAAAAGATAATCAGTGATGAGTTATTTTTTTCCAAATAAGAATTGGCCCAATCACAAAGATATTGCTAAAATGAAATCAATTTAACAAAAGAGAAGACATTTCCACCCTATTTTTTTTATAAACAAGTATTAGAGCCACACTAAAAAAGTACAATGACAATTTGAAAAAAGAAAAAAAAAATCATAATTTTACAAGACAAAAGTGAAGTGTGGGAGGGGGGCGGGGGGACAAAACAAAACAAAAAAAACAAGCCAACAACAATCATATACTTTCAGCACACTAAAAATGCTCTGATAGACCAACACCATCATCAGTTCGAGCTGCTGAACACAATTGTGCTGACAGGCTTTATTCCCCAAACATTCCAAATTTACTGTTGAAATTTATACCTTTCATTCTCACAATTTGTACTTTTTTCTTTTCTTCAGTGTGGCCCTAATACTTTGGCATGAGCTGTTTTAGTTCATTGGACGGTTCAAACAAGAGGGGGGGTGGGGTAAAAATGACCTCCATTTTCCTCAAATAAGTGCCACAATCCTGTTTTCTGCAAGAGGAAGAAGTGGATTTATTGTCTCTTAAAATGTGTAGACAAATCCAAGCACAATGACATTGCATCTGAAAAGCATAGTGGGGAAGAAAGTTACACATTGTTTGGGCTAGATACAATAGTACTTTGAAAACTGAATGCCCCAAAAGTTTTACAATTTGGAGATTGACCAAAATCTGCGTGAGAAAGAGACGCCACATTTCAAACAAATTTGGCAATTTGAACTTTCTTCATCCAGTACATTTTTCATTTTTGCAGATTTCTACTCAGCTTTCAGTGTATTCGCGTCTGCCAGTGTTGACTGACAGAAAGGAGCGCTCAATGTTGAGCTATTGCGCGAGCAAGTGAGCCGCAATAGCTTATATTTGTTTGTGTGTGTGTGTTTTATCATGACATTAATGTCATGTAACATGTGTGACAGCTAGTTCATGTTTTACTGTTGTTAACTGAGCCATATTAGACGTTACAAATGGTAAGGGCCCATTGACGTCAAATGATATTTAAAACATTGCCTGCATAGTCAAGAGAGGTTTTCTGGTGGTGACAGTAAAGCCTTTGGGAGGAGTACATCCAGATATTTACTAATGGTCCAAAGTTCCAACACTTTGTAATGCAATTAAATTAAAAAAAAAAAAATCCACAGTTTTCACAGGTCGTGTTATCCATTTCAATGAGAAACTGCTGTTTTTTTTGGGGTCATACTTTAACTTACCACTGTATGTAGAATCACCACAGATTCAAATGCACATTATCTTATTTTTGAAATGATTCCAAATATGATTTCAACTGCACATCACTGAGATTTTCTACCTTATACTGTAGTGAATGCCAAGAAATAAATGTGGAACTGCGTGTACAATTAATACATGTTTTACGACGGCAAATGTAATTGAATTCAATGGCACTTTTTGGGGGGGGGGGTCATATTTTGAGGTACCACTAGATTTAAATGTAAAATCTCCAAATATCCAAATGCACATATGTGTATTCCTATTTTTGCCCTTTTTTTTTTCAATGGGCCATACTGGAAGTGCGATGGTGGTTGGAGGTCTACTGGCTAAGACAAGCAGCATCTTGACTCTGAACTCATTGCTTGTTTTTGGCAGCATCTGCTTACAGTTGGGGGCAGCGAGCGGGTGGACCGCGCCACCCCAGGCATGAATACATGAATATGCGATGGAGGCTCCGTTCCTGAACTGTGGCCGCAAAGCTCCAGGCGACTTCTCCACTATTTTGAACACCAACAAGCATCAGACGCGTGTTTGTTTGAATGTTTAAAACTTCATTAGCTGGGAGATGCTCTTGAGAAGCAGCTGCGTCGGGAGAGCCCACCAGGGAAAGCTAGCACTAATTTGCTGTCAACGACGCATATTTCCTCAGTAGATTTTGCATACTTTATATAAATTTTTCCCCTCGCCTTGTTTTTTAATTTACGCATAAAATATGCCTTGTGGCTTACAGTAGCCTAAAAACACAATGCATTTTGTTCAGTATTATAAGATGCAAACTGTTTAGAAGCTTAATTAACCAGGCATTGTTTTAATGCACCGGTACTGTTTCAAGGGGGGAAATGAATGGCTGTTTGTTTCAAGTGAAAATATTACATAACGATTATGGTTACACCGTAACAACCCCGCTACCCTAAACGTCTCTGAAAGGACCTCATCAAAAGTCAATAAGGTCCTTGCTTTGATATAGAAGAATACAACGTTTAAAACATGTGACGGTGGATCACTGAGGACCGGAGTAACTAAAACACGGACTTCAGCAAACAACTTCTACCTGTCTTATGATGGAAATCTATCAAAATGCGAAACACCCTTAAATGTATAGCATATCGAATGAGCAATTAGACAAAACAACCACCATGGATCATATACGGTGTCGCTTTGGGTGCTTTCATACAAACACCTTTTAGACAATTACAAACAAAGTCTTGTTGGTTTTCTCCCTTGGTGTGTTTGGTTGAACTCAATCACTGCAATCAATGGGTGCAGCCCAAATAAACTGTACTAAGACCACCTAGGAGAGCTTCCAAACGAACAGTGGCGTGGTTTGGTTGCAGAGAGAAAGTGAATTGACCACAAACCGGTCCAAACGGGAGAGAAGAAATCATCTTTAGCATTAGCATGGTTTAGCACGTATGTTGCTACCAGAGCATAAAATTTTCTAGACAATCAAAAAAGCCATAAAAGAAGAGGCTGTTGTTTCTTCCATGTTGTGTCAAATCAAGGAGGGGATATTTTAAAACCCCACAAAATGATTCAGAGCAGTGCCTGTCAAGTGGGCAACTGCTTGTTTGGTGTACACAGAGGTTTAAGTGAGTGCTCAACAACACAAGCGCAAGAATGGATGTCAGGGCACTGCTCACTAATGATGCCATTCCTCTTTTAAAGCCAGGTAGCACAAATTTCTTCTTACACCCATTCAGAATTGAAAAATGTAATTTATTTCAGCAGTTCATTTCGATTATTTATGTCGTGTTCTCATTTCTTGATATGGTGAATTTTGGAGTTTCATTCACTGTTAAAAAGTTATCAAGTTATAATATTTAAATATTTCATTTTGCGTGTAGTGAATCGATATAAGTTTAAAATTTTGCACTGAACTATAAAAATGAGCGAAGTTTTCGACAAAGTGCACTAGCTGCCAGGCTAAATAATGTGGCGGCCATGTTGGCAGGGGTGAAGTTCCAGTCAAGGGCAATGCATGGCCATTGAAATGACAATTTCTCCGATTACTATATATATTTGTGAAAGCCAAAACTTGTGCTATATAATACAGAATGCAAAACAAAACCTAAACATATTTTTACCTGTGAAAGGTCATTCCCAGTTTCTTTGTGATAACTAATTGCACAGTGTTGTGTGTAACATTAAGCAGCAGTATGCTTGGGTTTGGTTGTACATTTTGTGATTTCAAGCTTAATTCTCTCTTCTTTTAGTTTCAGTTTTTCGGTAAACTTCAACAGGAGTGACAAAGAAAATCTTGAACCAAGCATGTCTCATTTATAGAACTGTGCTAGCAAGAGCATGAGAACAGGTGCTGAGAATATTCTAAGACCAAATCAAAACAAACAAACAAAAAAACATGTCTAAAACATGTGGAAGGGGTAAAACTATGCATGCATGTTTTTAAATCTGTTTTACAGACTTCCACTAACTGCAAGAAGGTTTGAATGCATTCCCGTGATAAATGGGGGTTCACTGTATTCACACTAGCGACATCAGAGAATTTTCCTTGCACCAGAAGGAGCCGAGCAGGTACAAAAAGGGGCTTTTCAAAGCAATCGCACTCACTTACTGGATAGTCTCACATAAATACTCCGCCATAAAACTGACCAGAAAAAAAAATTGAATTGTGAGGAATATGTCAAGCCAAAGCAAACGCAGCACTGTAAAAAATAAAAATAAAATGTATGGAGTCAAAATGAAACTGTGGAGTCACATGCTGTGAAGTATCGGCATGGGCAGCGGCCAGCTCTGGTAGCGCTGTGGGATAACTCACGCCAACTCTCACAGGTAAAAGTCAGTATATTGTGTTTGTCTATGGCGTCTTCCAACTTGGCTGTTGAATTTCTTTTCAAAAAGCCAGTGTGTGTTTTGTTAAAAGCACTCGAAGTTTTCTTTGACATGATGACGCCAAAGTCCTTGGTGTTTTCGTAAGTAGCGGAGCACCATCAGCCTTCAAACATTTTTTTTTTCCTATGATTTAAAAGAGGACACCATTTAAGAGTAATTGATAATGACTAAGGCATGAATGACTTGGTGTTGCTTTTTCTGTTTTTTGGTGTTTTTTTTTTTTTTTTTTGCTTGAGTGTGCGACAGGGTGGTTGGGAAGTGGTCCGGGTGGCCTTTGGCGCTCATCATCAGCCTTGCGGAGAGCATCATCGGGCCTGGTGGTTGGCGTTGTGACGTGAGCGGGACCTTTCGAGAACTGCACGTCGGTTGTCTGATGAGAAGAAAGAAAACAAATCAGAACCACAGAACGAGTGGAACCTCTTCAAACAAACAGAACACCAGTGCTCACATGCAGATGCAAAATGATGGCACAGAAGCAAATCAAAGCCATTCACAGCAAAGTTGCTGATGCAAATAAACATCGAAGATTGAATGTTGACTTGATTACGACAAAAGGCTGTGAAACGTCGTTGGTCGGCCTGCCAGCCGCGTCTCTCGTACAAGGCACAATAAAACAGCGCTTATATTTGTCAGGGAGACATGAGGGACGCGCTGTTAAAGCAATTAGAAGCGGTGATCACGAAGAAGGCTGACGACTGATTTGAACTGATGGAGATGGATTTTTAATTTCTGTTTGCAGCCATGAGTCCACAACATTGTGACGAAGACAAAAATGTTCTTCACAGTGACAATGTATGAATGCTGAGAATTTTGTTTTGAAACCGGAAGAGAAATGAGTGGACAGTTAGGGGGCACAGGAGAACTGCAAGTAATTACCGGCTTCCCAAAATGTTTACAACTGTCTAATTCTCCTTTTGTGCGTGCAAATACTTGTTTTGTTTTTTCTACTTTCTCCTTTTCATATTTTTGCTGTTGTAAAATGCGAATTTCTCCATTGTGCGACAAATAAAGGTTTTTCTTCTTCTTCTTATTAGCTTAACCCATACTCCAAATTATGATCCCATCAATTCCACTTCCATCCATACATTTTCTGATCCGCTTTATCCTCACAAGGGTCGCAGGGCGTGCTGGAGCCTATCCTAGCCGTCTTCGGGCAGTAGGCGGGGGACACCCTGAACCGGGTGCCAGCTGCAATCGCAGGGCACACACAGACAAACAACCATCTGCGCTCACACTCACACCTAGGGACAATTTAGTGTTCAATCAGCCTGCCATGCATGTTTTTGGAATGTGGGAGGAAACCGGAGTACCCGGGGAAAACGCACGCAGACCTGGGGAGAATATGCAAACTCCACACAAGGAAGCCGGAGCTGGAATTGAACCCGGTACCTCTGCACTGTGAGGTTGACGCGCTAATTATATATATATATAAATTCAGCAGGGTAACAAAACATCCACATGTGGCAAAGACTATTCAGCTATCAAACCAACCGAAGCTCCACTTAGCTTCTGCCTGACATACCAAGTTCTATTCTCACTTGTGAGGTTTCCCTTCAACATTGTACTTTCTTGACAACAAATACTACTTTCCTATTGGTCAGAGCTTTGGAGACTTCTTGTCGCACATTATGGCATTACAGAAAAATAATTGGTGCGTTTTATCAGCAAATAGCTAAACTAGTTTTCACAAGAAAAAAAAGAAAAAAAAAACAGGAAAAAAATTGATTAGCGCAAACAGTTCCTTGTCCAAAGTAATTTGATAAGATTTGGCATAACGGCTTTTAACTTTTGGTAAAACGCGTGCTCATATTGTATGTCTGCCGTGATAGTGGAGCGTGTTGGAAAAGGACACACATAGAACAACTGTTCTTTGCCTGATGTGAATTGAAAGATTTTTTTTTTTTTCTGAATAGAAAATAACATTTGGTGAAAAATTTAAAAGAAAAAACGGTGGGGTCGATTAGTTGTAACGGTTTCATCAAGATAATGTGCTCCGATTTCAGGAGAGATCAAATGTGTGAGGTTATTAATTTAGATTTGTATTTGTGTTGGAGTTCCAAGGTTCCATTGCAGTTCCAATCCACCCCAGTAATTATAATTCATGCTCAGATTTCGCCAATTCACACGTATTTATTTGTTTAACCATTTATGGCTAGCATCTGACAGAATCATCAAGCACTGTGTTCTCCAAGCATGTCCGCCCGTGGACAATGCCAGCCGCTCGCCATCCGGTCCGCAGACGCGCGTGGCTGGACACACGCGGGAAGTTCCTGGAGATGACTTGCTGTGATTACCAAACGAGCCACTGCCACGGTGAGAGCCCCAACTGGGTGCTGTTTAATGGCATTCATTCCTTCTATCATGTCAGGTAATGAGCAGAGAGTGATGGCTGCACACACCTTCACACTAATACACACAGCAGAAGCACTTCCTGTATGTGCTCCGTCTCCCAACATGCAGATGGTGCACAGGAGGAGAGAGGGAAGAAAAGATCACTGATTTAGGCATACATGGACAAAATACTTCGCTGCTCCTCAACAAAGTCACAATGAGATCCACAGGTGGAGAATGACTCGCTTTCCAAATAAGCATCGCCAAAATGCACAAAAAAAGGAGGCTGAAAACAAACAATGTCATGCGAAGAAAGGAATTTACTGTATGTCATGTTTATTTGCTGTAGAGAACTCGCCAAGTGAGTGTCTCAAAGCAAAATTACAATAAAACGCACACACGCGCGCGCGCGCGCACACACACACACACACACACACACACACACACACACATTTTAACACCAATGCCAACTTCCATGAATGCCCCTCAAGCCACTTTTTTCTTTCTTTTGAACTCCTCAGATTGTATTGCAACCACTCGCTTCAACTCAATTGGACACCTTGAGCACATACACCACACTGTTCATGTTTGCACAAAAAATGCGAGCTCTATTCCAAAAAACAACAAATTGCATCCCACAAGATCTCAGTCAAGGCTTTTGAATCTTCTCTGATGCCTTTTGATGCCTCCTTTACCCGCTTTCTCGCCGGCATTACAAAAGTAGCGCAAGTATTTTTTGCTTTCTGTACACAGCTTGCTATCTTGCTCTGTGTTATTGTAGCAAATGCTACTATGCATTATGTAAAATACTTGTCAAACTGCAGTTGCACTTTCTCTCACTCACTTATTTTGATGTTAGCATTCTACCTTCTCTGTATGCTTTAGCGCAGTAGTAGCTCTTCATTGAAGACGTGTGGAATGAACATTATGGATCCACTCGGGTTGTTAGCAAGAAAAGTGTCGTCGCCCTTGCTGTTAGCATTGTAAGATTGTTCAACAAGGCAAGCCCAACTCCCGCCATACTGTATGTGTCACAAATGCCAGATTCTAAGTAAGCAAGGAGCCCATTTAAACATTCTGTAAGTCTTATCGGGTCTTTTACGTTTGTTTTTCGTCATTCATTGTAGTGTTTGTATCAGCCCTATGTTTGCAATATACTTGTTCTCGTGCATTTGGGAGCTCAGGTTATTCAATAAGTATACACGCAGATGTATGTCAGTGATGTTTCCCTTGAAATGTACATGTAAATACATTCAAAAACTGAATTGGGTACTTAGACGGGCAGTGTAAAATCAAGCCACGGCGCCTCTGGCAAACACAGCAGAAGCACACTCTCCCTGCATGGCTTTGAGGAAACGGCCAATATTGTGTTGCGAGCGCACGAGGGTATCCTTGCGTGTATATCATGTTGATCCCTGCCACGAGGGAGAGGCTCTGAATAAGACAAGGGTAATAGTAGGAGGGGAGGATGCCAAGATTACTAAACAGGCAAGGCAAAGGCCTTAAGCCGGCACAGTTAACTCACAACCCTCTCAGGCCCGATTTTGGAGGGCCTCCAGTGAGACGCCATTTCATGTTACGGTGGACGACAGAGAACCCTTGTCGGATTCCCGGCTTCCATTATGCTGACTTTTTTTGTTCCTGTCATCCACAGCTAATTGCGCAGAGTTACATCATGATAAAATGTGTTCATGTGCATGAGAAGAGCTGGCACGTATCCAATAAATGCTTTGAGCATGGAAAACCGAGTGGGATTAACCCTGAGTGGTCGGCATAAACACGAAAACTTTGGGGAAAGGTTTATGCCGCATTGTGTTAAACATTATCTGGATAACATCTGCCTCTGGACTTCGAGCTAAAATTTAAGGCCGCCACGTGCTGTGGATGGTGAAATTTTAAGTGGGGGGAAATCAATTTAATACAGTATAGTGGTAACTCGACTTCCATATTTCTCAAGTTATGAGCACCCAGTTGATCAATGTTTTTCCCTTTGTATTGCAAGCAAGCTTCAAATTCAATTTCTGATTTTAGGCTATAGAATGGGACAGTAGAAACTCATTCTCAAGGAGCAGGGAGAAGATACTAACACAGAACTAACTGTAGAGGATCTGGAGTCAAAGCTCATGATGTCACTCACTTGGCCAGGCCCACTTAAAGGCATGCATAACACAAATGCTACAGTGTGTCTTTCTGTCACTGGTGTCGAGAGGAATCCTTGTAGCTCGAAAATCATGCCTTGTCATGAGACCCCAAAACCATTAAGATTTCATCGACAATTCTTCTATGACTTTGTGGTGGCTTCAGCCATTCATTATCGCATAGTCTGGCGGTCAGGCAGCATCTCAATCCGGGACAGAGAGAGATTAGACCAACTGGTCAGGAGGGCCAGCTCTGTCCTGGGCTGCTCTCTGGATACTCTGGTGGAGGTGGGCAACAGGAGGATGCTAGCTAAGCTAACAGCTATGATGGACAGACCCTCCCACTCCCTCCGGGCCACCCTGACAGCACTGGGCAGCTCCTTCAGCCAGAGACTGATACACCCGCGCTGCAAGAAGGAGAGGTACCGCCGCTCGTTCCTGCCGATTGCTGTCAGGCTATTGAATAGACAGTCTTGAAAACCTGGACTCACCCATTTTTAATATGCTTCCATTTATATTGTATCTCCATCCATCCATTTTCCGATCCGCTTATCCTCACAAGGGTCGCGAGGGGTGCTGGAGCCTATCCCAGCCGTCTTCGGGCAGTAGGCAGGAGACACCCTGAACCAGTTGCCAGACAATCACAGGACACATACGAACAACCTTCCGCACTCACACTGACACTTAGGGACAATTTGGAGTGTTCAATCAGCCTGTCATGCATGTTTTTGGAATGTGGGAGGAAACCAGAGTACCCAGAAAAAATCCATGCAGGCACGGGAAGAACATGCAAACTCCACACAGGGAGGCCGGAGCTGGAATTGAACCCGGTACCTCTGCACTGTGAGGTCGCACTAACCACTGTACCACTGGGCCGCCCTGTATTTTATATTAGAATTTA